ATATATATATATATGTATGTATGTATGTATATGTATGTATGTATGTATGTATGTATGTATGTATGTATATTTGTTAATATATATATATATATGTTTTCTGAGATTTTCGCGGGTGTTTGTATGTAAGTCTTTGGTTATTTGGGTTATTTATTAACCCGAATAACCAAAGGCCTACATATATATATATGTGTGTGTGTGTGTGTGTGTGTGTGTGTGTGTTGTGTGTGTGTAGTTAATATTTCGGGTTTCTTCCCGTGTAATTGTGGATATATCCCTAAAAGGGTAGAAGCGACGTTTCGGCAGAATCCCATCTGCCATCATCAGGCTTATGTTAGCAGTCATTTTGCATACTTCTCAGACCCATAGTAAGTTCCATAGGCTCACCTTTACAAAATCTAGCCAGATATTTAGCAAAACATCTTCAACCTTACGCAGAATCTGCTGCTTCATATGTACAGAACTCATACCATTTCATACAAATAATAAAAAAGCAACACATAAAAGAAAGTGACCTTCTTGTAAGCTTTGATGTTGTATCACTATTCACACAAATACCTGTCAAAGAAGCCTTGTCATCAATTAAAAACAAATATCAACTACCAAAATATATCACAAACTTAACAGAACATTGTTTATCCAACACATATTTCATACACAGAGGACAGAGATATAAACAAGTAGAAGGTGCACCAATGGGATCACCATTATCACCAGTCATCGCTAATCTTTTCATGGAAGAATTCGAATCCAATGCCTTAGAAAAAACTGTTAACAAACCAAAATTATGGCTCAGATACGTTGATGACACCTTTGTGATCTGGCCACATGGAAGAGATAAATTGGAAAACTTCTTAGTACATTTGAACAGCCTCCATCCCAAAATAAAGTTCACCATGGAGATAGAATCAGAAAACCAGTTACCTTTCCTCGATGTATTAATTTATAAAAAATCTGATGGCACCTTAGGACATAAAGAAGACACATACGAACCGCTATCTCAATGCCAAATCACACCACCATCCAGCACAAATAAACTCTGTTGCCAAAACATTAACCACAAGAACTAAACGTCTGGCTGATGAAGCACATTTACAAACAAAATTATATACACTAACTAATGTACTGACATCAAATGGGTTCTGTAGAAATAAAGTCATCAATATGATCAAACATACAACACCAAGACAGAATAAAAAACAACAAGAGGAACAAAACAATGGGAAAGCCATCTTGCCCTATATAAGGGGAACAACAGATAAAATTAGCAAAGTACTACAAAAACACAACATCAAAACCATATTTTGCACAGATAGAAAGATATCGTCCATTCTGAGAAACCCCAAAGACAAAAAAATTAGAAGATCAAGGCATATATGAAATCCCATGTGCTTCCTGCCCATCAACATACATTGGACAGACCAACAGAAGAATGAGTGTGCGCATCGAGGAACACAAAAACTCAATACAAAAGCAAGAACACACATCATCATTAGTTCAACATATAAATACAACAGGACACAACATTAATTTTAATAAAACAAAAACAGTTGCAAAAATAGAACATCTCAATGGCAGAATAATCAGAGAAGCAATAGAAATGGAAAAAAGACCATATTGCATGAATAAACGGGATGACACTTCACGTCTGCCTACTATTTGGAAACCTGCTCTCATAGATAGATGAATCTTGACACCATATATGGGACAGGGACCAAGCATTAAACAAAAATATCCCAACCAAATCATATTCAAACCAGCCACAAAGATGAAGCCCTGCCACCTAGTGGAGAAAAACCGACCATACACCCGAAGCCAAGCCAATAAACACATACTGGGACTCCCAACCAATCAGAATGAAAAGGTGGAGCCATCCCAGAATACCAGCACCAGATTTGAAATTCCAACGTCAGTTAGTGCAAAATGCTGCTAACATAAGCCTGATGATGGCAGATGGGATTCTGCCGAAACGTTGCTCGGTGCAAAATTTTATAATGAAAACAGTGGGAAATATCAACCAACATACTTGTAAATGATTTCTGATTTCATCCTTGAAAAACTGCAGATTATTTTTATCTAAAATATTTGGGCTCTATAAATATGTAATCTATGTAACAGCCACAGTTTTTAATCCTGATCTTAAGGCATGTTCATTAATAATTTCTTTCTTTTTTATTCTGTATCAATCAATCACTGTCAGTTAAATTGTAAGCAAAATGTTACTGGACTTTTTCTTCAGTTATGTAGCACTAACCTGAGAATAGCATGTCTACATTTTCTCTCCAGGCAATTGACATAAGTATCAGTAGATATGTCTCATTTTTAAGCAGACAGCATCGGCATGACATCACAATGAGTAATGTGTTGTTTTTATGTAGACTGAATCACCACAAAGTGTACAGACAAGTCAAGTTGAGGTAAGCCTTCAGGGACCCAAATGAGTGAATCAAGTCTTAGACTGAATGTAAGTTTTTCAAAGTTGACAGGACTTTAGATTATGTAACTGTTTCAATTTTCTTAAATTTTATATTTATATTTTAGAAAGCAGTTTTCTGAAAGGTGATATTGATTCAAACAATTATTTACATTTATTACTTTAATTTAGATTTTATACATAGGATTATGGGCAGTGATCATATCAGGTCTCCACGGGAGAAACTCGTCCAATCCATTGATTCAAATTGTTATATTAATTTATCATCTGATGGACATAGAAATCATTTTGAAATTTCAATGAAGGTTTTCTCACTGGCAGTTTCAAAGGTTATCTGGCCATCATGGTAATGAGATATCTCTAACAAAGAAAGTGTTTATTTATATTTTTTATGGCAATTGTGGAATGATGATAAAAATCACTATTTGAGGAAGTCTGGTTAATCTCAGAACTATAATGTAGAGATATAATCCAGAGATCACAATAATTTTAGATTACTGTTACAATAAATCAGGAAAGACATGTTTTATCTCATTTAATCTACAATCAAAAGGAGTCTGGTAGCAGGTTTTCTGACCATAGTTAGCCCCGAGTTTTAAAATGGAAATGTATGGAAATTATCCATAGATTTTATTAATTTTGTTTTACATCCTAAAATTAACCAGGAAAACTGTTTTATGCCATTTGTACTCCATCAATTTTTTATTGCTACTCTTTAGTGTAGATTACCCATTGCTCCACTCTTTAGAAGTCACTGTCTCATTGATTGGAAGATGTGTTCTCTGCATGAACTCTCAACCACTGATCAAGGCTATATCACAAGCAATCTAAAGATGCCAATTCCTAGCCATTTACAACCCATGGGGTACAGAAAGTGGGAAGGTTTGGATACATATGATTCACAGTCATATTTTTGTTCTTCAACAAATAGCATAATATAGTTAAGTTTTCTTTCTCTGTTGGGCCTCGGTGATTTTTGCAGGAATTGTTTCATTATTAAATAATTTTTATTAAAACATTTAAACAAGCAGATAAAAACGAACACAAATGAATAGTGTTTTCAGGGGAAAGGAAAAAGCAAGCAAGCAAAGAAAAAGCAAAATGTAATAAAAAAAGTAAGGAAAACAAAAAGGAAAAAGAAAAAGAAGTTATTTTCAATGTTCTTCATATAAGTACACATATATATTATCCTTTCTCTCTAAAATTAGTTTGCATAATCTATAATCTTACTTTATATAATCTATCCTATCTAAAGATTGTTGTTGTCATTGTTGGAATAAATAGTTGTTGCTCAATGTTCAACTTGTGGTTGACTTCCAGAATTGCCTAGTTTCAATTTAATCCTTTCACTGATCCTCACACAGTTAAGATCATATTCTTTAAATTTCTTTTGTGTTTACATTCTTACATTTGAATTTTTTTCTCTTCTTTTCCCTTATCAGATTATTAAATTTAGATATAGTTGATATGAATCACCAAAACGTGTTTACTCAGTGAGTTATAGAACAAATAATAGAGAGTGAAGTTAACAAGAACTTAATCAAAGCAAGCATACATTGCTAACCACCATGATGCACAAATAATAGAACATATTTGTGATGTCTTGATAGAAGCTTTTTCTTTTCACACTTGGATTACAGCATCACACATATGAAAGATGGTGTCTGACAGAAGTTTCACCTGACATATATTTTGTTATGCACCGTTTATACTACTGTGGATGTCTACAATATAATATATTTGTCTTCTTACTTCAGCTGTTTGACTCAAAATATGACAGGGTCTAATCAAACCTTTATATACAGCCATAGAGCTTTATTCAAATTGCTTTTAATAGTGCAAATCCATGTTGTGATGTAGTGTTAATTCTAAGGAATACTTGGGATAGATACAGTAGTCCTTAATAGGCAGTTGTTTTAGTTCATGAGATAATATTCTGGGAAACTAAATGATCATGAAGAGCATTAATTGAATTGTCTCAATCTTTACTTACATAAACAGAAACATCCACTTTTCATTATTTGCTGAAATAAAGCTACTCTCACTAATATTTTGTATCTCTACTATACATTCCTCTTGTTGAAAAGAAACATCATGTCCTTGCAATGCCTTGGAGAATTGCGTCTGCCACCATTACTGTTGTGATTGCGCAATCATTCTGTTGTGTATAGAGTTCTTTAACATTGTGTTCATGTTCCCTATGGGACTAGTTAGCAAATATTGAGGAGGAAGCCATGTCTTAATCTCACCAAATCTGCAGCATGTAACTGTTGGATTACATGAACGGTAGCTGTAGAAAGAGTTTAAAGATAGTATGTTAATGAGAAAAAAATGTTTTTTCTTTTTTCTTTTTAAAAAATTTCTGTCTGTTTTGGAATAAGAAATATAATCTCTGGATGCTAATTAAGGATTCATTTCCACTATATAACACTCATATTAATTGGTGTTCAATGTTAACTTTTTCTCCATTAATCTGCATCATGCTTGTGTGTAAATCTGCCACTAAAGGTTTTTGAGAGGCTGTGAGATGTGAAAGAAACATAAACAAACAGAAGAAAAGAAGTGGGCACAGAGTGGCTTGTATGATTATTTTTGTTATCAGTTTAAAAGGAAAAGTAAGTTTTTACATTTTAAATTTCTAAAAACTTATTTCAGAAAGGTTCAATGTGTAAGCTTTCAAAATCCTGTCTTCTTATGTCTTTTAATCAAGAGGATTGTTTTTTTCATTTTATTCATAGTTTATACAAAAATAGGCTGTGCTCTGGAAAGAGAAATGTAACATTACAATGATACAACTCCAGTACTTATGCTAATCAACTAATCTATCAAATCTGGAGTTTTGTCATTAGTTAATTAGATTCAGACTTCTTCAATAATATTAAATTGTCTACATAAGGTCTACACAAGCAATATGGTAGTTCTACCATACCACATATAGAGAATCCAATTAAATTTGTAATAAAACCTGATTTATTTCATGTCCTTGGATGTATCTCATGGCTACAGATTTGGAGGTGCGGAGTATAAGTAAAAATGATACTCACAATATATCTGTAATATTAGAAGAAATATCTATCTCCTTAATTTCAAAAATTGACAAAATCAGTAATCCCTGGTGATATGGAAAAAAAATCAAATGCCGCTCTCAAATTTGATAACCCAAACCATGCTATTTTCTTCTATGAAATTTTTTATTTAATAAAAGGAATCTGGTATTGAAGAACTATCATTTATAGTTCTAAATGTGGCCTTAAGATGTGTAATAAGAGTTATCATATTACTATTAATATAAATTGGTTTGTATAGTCTCATTATATGAGATCATATTCTTATACTAGAAGCTTATATGGCCTTTCTTTTTTAACATTTAATGTTCTGTGAAATACTAAACAGAACAGGCCATGGTATACTTCCTATTACAGATAAAGAATCTAACTAGGCTTGCTATCGAGCCTCATTCACATCTTTGTATAGTGCATAGTGCCAAATAATATATTTAAAGCCTCTGCATGTTTCAGGGGAGTAAATTTCTGTCTAAATTCCATGTTTAAATAAGATTGGAATTCTCTGATTAAGTAAATGATAATATGCACAATACCGTATACTTCTCCTGCAGAAATGGTTCCTTGACAAAGGATTTGATTACTGAAGAACTAATTTGATTTTATAAATATAATTTTCTATGTTATTGAAGTCACCATATCACCATGAAAATAAAATATTTGACATGTACAGTTTTGTAAAAATGGCTTTGTTAAATTGATACTCCTTTCTCTGACAGTGAAAATTCAATGACGTGATGCCAAACAGAACCATCATCATAGATTTCTTACTTATGGGATTTTCTGAGCAATGGGAGTTCCAGATTTTGCACTTTGTGGTCTTCCTCATTATGTATCTGGCTATCCTGATAGGAAATCTTCTCCTCATCATTCTGGTAGACGTGAACAATCATCTTCAGACACCAATGTATTTCTTTCTGGTCAATTTAGCAATTGTTGATCTGGGATCCACTTCTGTAACCATTCCCAGATCAATAGCCAGTGCCCTCATGAATGCAAGAAGGATTTCATATTCTGAATGTGTTGCACAAATGTTTTTCTTTCTTTTCTTTATGTCCTCAGACATTTTCCTTCTCACCGCTATGGCTTATGATAGATATGTGGCTATCTGCCATCCTCTACATTATATGTCTATGATGCAATGGAGAAGCTGCTTCCAAATGGCAGGGGTTGCATGGATGCTAGGCTTTCTTAATGCTGCCATGCATGCAGGAACCCTTTTTTCATTGCCTTTCTGTTCCAAAGTCATCCATCAGTTCTTCTGTGAAATCCCACACCTCATGAAGATTTCCTGCTTCGATCCCAAATTCAGTGAAATCTCTGTTCTTCTTTTTAGTGCTTTTCTTGGTGTTGTTTGCTTTATGTTAATTATCATGTCCTATGTAAAAATCTTTAAGGCAGTATTGAGCATGCCCTCAGTGGCCAGTAGACAAAAGGCCTTTTCTACTTGCATTCCCCATCTCCTTGTTGTCTGTTTATTACTTGGTACGGGTATATTTTCCTATTTCATACCAAATTCTGGGTCTTCTTACAATTGGGATGAGGTCTTTGCAGTAATCTACTCTGTGATTCCTCCAATGATGAACCCAGTAATCTATAGCATGAGAAATAAAGATATCAAAGCTGCTTTAAGGAAGTTGTTTAATCAAAGGTTTGCAAATCAAAATAGAAAACTCTGCTAAGAACAACTAAACAACTTTGTTTTAAGGAATAAAAAGAATCCCACAAATCATGTTGTCCTGAACAATAACATCTTTATTATCATTTATTGTGAACTACAATTTACTTATTTGGATGCATTGGGCATACTCCAGAGAATCACACACATATAGAAAATGGTTAAAAAGTTAAAAAGATGGAATTACTAGTAGTAACCTTAAGCAACACGTGTGACATCCACATTTTATCATTAATATATTACACTATATATTGGGATAAGAAACTTGACTGACTTTTTAATCAATGGAAGATTATTTTAAATCTTCTCTTGCGCTAGTATTTGATCATGAAATCTATTTTCCCCCTCTCATTTCCTTTTTTAAGGATAACAGTCTTGAAATCAGGCTTAGAATACTCTGGGAAATGTCCATTACTGGTGTCCAATTTTGTGTGGAAGTGGGCCATTTTATCCCATGTAAAATGGGATTGGGGCCAGGGTAACAGATGATAGCAAATTATTTTGTAGTCAATATTTGCTCCTGTGATGTTGTGGATGAGATAGCTAATAGCTGCTTCACTTAGGATAGCTGTCTGCAAGCAAATGCGGATCACCAACTTCATATAGTCATATGTCAACTATGGTTGTAATTACTGTATACACTTTGTCAAGGCATTGCAGGTACCGCAACAATATTTTTATTGTTTATTGTTGCTCTCCACCTAGCATTTACTGTATTTATTTCTCAAGCCTTTAAAAAAAATCAGCTAAAAAGAACAAGGCATTAACAGCTAGTGCTAAAGCAACATTTGCTGTTCTGGAATCAGTCAGCACCTAAACCAAGACAATCATAATCATAATCATAAGTTTATTTGTCAAGCATATATAAGATAACAAGTAAAAATATAAACATAATTTGAATACATGAAAAGAATAAAAAGGAATACTAGGACAGGGATGGTAGACATGCTGGTGGACTTATGCACACCCCTTACAGACATCTTAGGAATGGGGTGAAGTCAACAGTAGACAGTTTAAGATTAAAGTTTTGGGGGTTTGAGAAGAAACTACAGAGTCAGGTAGTGCATTTCAGGCATTGAGCACTCTGTTACTAAAGTCATATTTTCTGCAATCAAGTTTGGAGTGGTTTACCTTGAGTTTGTATCTATTATTTGCTCATGTATTGTTGTGGTTGAAGCTGAAGTAGTCGTTGACAGGAAGGACATTGTGGCAGATAATTTTATGTACTATGCTTAGGTCAGACTGAAGTCGGCATAGTTCTAAATTGTCTAAGCTCAAAATTTGGAGTCCAGTGGCATAAAGTATTTTATTGCGGTTAGAGGAATGGAGGACTCTTCTCGTAAAATATCTCTGGACTCTCACAATTGTATTAATGTCTTATATGCAGTGCAGGTTCCAGACAGATGAGCTGTATTCGAGAATTGGTCTAGCAAATGTTTTGTATGCTCTAGTTAGTAGTACAACATCACCAGAGAAGAAGCTACGCAACATTAGGTTAACAACTCTTAATGCCTTTTTGGCAATGTTGTTACAGTGGACTCTGGCACTTAGATCTTTAGAAATGAGTACTCCAAGATCCTTGACAGAGTGAGGGTCATCTACAAGGTCATGTGCATCTAATTTGTATTTTATGTTTTGATTATTTTTTATTTTTATTTTTTTTGCCAATGTGCAAGACAGAGCATTTGTTGGTTGAGATTTGAAGTTGCCAATTGTTAGATCAATCTGACACATAGTCAAGGTCTTTTTGAAGGGTAGTTGTATTGTTGGTGGTGTTGAATAGTTTAACTTCATCAGCGAAGAGAATGCAGTTGCTTTTAATATGATCACAAAGGTCATTTATGTAAAGTATGAAGAGTGTTGGACCTAAAACACTGCCATGGGGAACACCACTATTAATATGTACAGGATTTGATAGAGCGCTTCCTATTTTGACCACTTGTTGTCTGTTTGACAGGAAGGCAGCTATCCATTTATGTAGTAGTCCAGAAATGCCATAGGATTTTAGTTTTAGAAGTAATTTGTCATGTACCACTGAATCAAAAGCTTTACAGAAGTCTATGTAAACTGCATCTATTGCTTTGCCCTGGTCGAGATATGTAGTCCATATGTTTTTGCAATGTAATAGTTGTAGATTACAGGATAATTTTTTTCTGAAACCAAATTGTTTGTTAGAAAGTAGGTTGGTTGTTTCTAGGTGGAGAGTAATAGATTGGTTAATGATTGATTTCATGACTTTGCAAGTGACGCAACTTAGAGATTGGTCTGTAATTTTCAACTAGGCTAGGGTCTCCCTTTTTGAAGATAGGGATGACCCTGGCTTGTGACTATTGGTAGGGCAAGGTGCTGGTACTGAAAGATTTTTCAAAAATTATGCTTAAAGGTTCTGCAATTGCAGTGGAAAGCTTTTTAAGAAGTATGCATATAGTCCATCAGGTCCAATAGATAGAGAAGGGTTTAGACTGCATAGTGCCTTTTCAACATCAATATGTATAAGATCTCCGTAATCATTGTAATTGTCTGTTGTATGACTGGGAAATATTGGGTATGTGTTTTTGCTGTTTACAAAGACTGAGCTGAAGAACGTGTTAAAGAGATTGGCTTAAACTGTTTTATCAATACAATCTTCATTGTTTGGTCCTTTTAGGGGTGGGATGGATCTCGAGTCTTTAAACTTGTTGTTTACAAAATTATAGAATGCATGGGTGGATTTTGTCCGTAGAAGGCAGGGCCGGATTTTTCTATAGGCTAACTAGGCTTCAGCCTAGGGCCTCAAGATCAAGAGGGGCCTACATTCAAATTGTTAGCAAAATTAAAATTACACTTTCACTATAGGTGAAAGGGCCTCATAAGTGGAATAGCCTAGGGCCTCTTTTCATCTAAATCCGGCCCTGGTAGAAGGTTTTCTTCTTGCTTGATGTAATAATTGGTGCATTCAGTCTTTATTTGTTGGCATAAGATTTGTAGTGGTTTTTGAAGTTAGCTACGTAGTTTGTTTTGTTTTTTCACCAAAGAGATTTTTTTCTGGATTGTAATTTCTTTATTGTTATTGGTTGTTTATTTTTTCTGGTTTTGTGGGATATTAGTGGTACATAAAGTTTAATGATTCTTTTGACTTTGCACAAGAAAATGTTGTAATGGTCGTCAGCAGTATTACAGCCAGAAAATAGATTTTGCCAATCAAGATATGAGAGTTCATTGTCTATGAGATCATAGTTGGCTTTTTTAAAGTTAAAACTGGGAATCCCATCATTATGATGATTTTTGAGAGGGCTAAGTTGAGACAAATGTAAACCATGCTGTGGTCGCTGTTGGAGAATGTACCATATTGCCCTCTCATTCAGAATCCATTCCTCAATGAGGTAAGTCTTAGAAAGCAATTTGGTATTAAGCAGAAATAGTTGCATCCTCAGGCCACCTAAGTTTTGATGACTGGGCATTGAGGGTTATGACATTGGGCCTATGTTCACTGTGAATGGCCTGATCCTTGACTCCCACAATTCCTTCCATTGTCCATCAGCACCATGACATTCCTGCCTGCCTCTGAGCCAATATACTATTTTCCCCACCCTCAACTTGCTACCTCAACCATAGTTGCTGTTAGTACACTCAAAGTAGACTGGATAGTAAGATCATGGATATTATGACTAAAATTCAGCTGCCAGCATTCCAAGCACAATCCAACAGCTGTAGAAGAAAAAATTGGCTGAGCCAGTGGAGGGATTAAACAGAAAATTAGTCTGAAATCCCTGTGTAGCCACAAGATAAAATTTGATCTCATTTGAATGCTGTTGAATTTTATCTGTGTATAGGCTTGAGCAATCTGACCCTCCACAAAAGTCCCCCTCTTGATCAAATTGCCCACCTCTGTCATATATCCTTCAAATATAGATGGCTATGTAGGGTTAGTTTTTTCTATACTGCAGAGGGCTGATGTACAGTTTACAAGAATTTCTACAATGAAGTATTTATTTACCCTTTTCATGAATGTGGTCTTCAAACACAAGGAAGATTGTCATATGCTGCAAGAAGTTTTTTTTTTAAAATTTTAAAAAATTGACACTAAGTTTAAATCTTGGTTTATCAGAAAAGGGGGAATTGAAAATGAAACAAGAATTAGAAGAACAAGGGATTGATATGGTCTGGTATACACAATTGCAAATACAATCGAGATATGAAAAAGATGCTAAGTGATATGGTTTCTACTTGGAGATGGCAGAATTGGATATTCACAGGAACAGATGAGAGAATGATTAAAAAATTGTATAGTTACTTACCTTGTATTAAATTAGGAGAACAAGTAAAAGAAACAATGATAGCATGGGCAAAAAAATTTGGATACACAATAGAGTTAGATAAATGGCAGCAACTATGAGAAACTATAAGTTAACAATGGCAACAGCATATAAAGAGAATTTGTATAAAATGTTTTATAGATGGTATATGTCACTGGAAAGATTGGCAAAAATGTTTAAAGATAAATCAACTAAATGTTGGAAATGCCACCAGACACCGGGATTGTATTATCATATGTGGTGGACAAGGGAGAAGCGAGAAACTATTGGGCAAAAATTTGATTATGGTTAGAGAAGATGATGCAGCAACATATTGATTTAAAACCGGAGCTGTTTTTGTTGAGTATTTAATCTGAAAAATTTAGTAAAGAAAATGTATATTTGATTATTCATGTAATAACTGCAGCGAGAATAGTATTTGCATAAAATTGGAAAGCTGAAAAAATCCGTACAAAGGGAGAGGTAATTAAGAAAATATTAGAATGTATAGAAATGAATAGATTAACATTGGCAATTAAAGGGAAAGAAGAATTGGAGAAATATAACATATGGGGGCAATTTTATCATTGGATGGAAAATGAATATGGACAAAAAGTGGTATAAAATTAAATAAATTTGGAAGGAAAATGCTTTAACAGGAGATGTAATAAATTGAAATGTAAAAGTAAAGATATGTACATATTAAGAAAATGGTGATAGGTGTTAAATATGATGACACAAAAAATGTACCCAGATGATACACTGATTGATCAATGAT